CCCCCCGCCCATTACAGAGAATGCTCTGGCCTCAAATGCCAAGGTTGAAAACCCTGAGAGTAAAATAAAGAGGCAGGAAAAGGAAGAGATGTCGTCGGGATGGAGAGATAACTCCATCTGCTCAACAAAAATTTCAGAAAAACCTGGGGGTGGGGGCAGAGGAGAGGGAGAAAATTAGTTAAAGCTAAAGACGTTGTGGGTTAGAGAGAGAAAAACAAGGCTGAGAGCTTAGGAAATGTGACAATGTGGGGGGTGTAGATTAGGAGACAACTAGGTAAAAGGAAAAAGAGAATCTCAGAAGTGTTTCTAGGATTATAGATTTTTGGTATAATTATAAGATCAAAAACTTACTAGTGTTTATCATATGTCAGGAACCCCTAATGATACAACCTATAAGGTAGGTGCTCTTAACAATCATGTTTTACAAGTGGGGAAACTAAGGATCAAGATGATTTTGTACCAGGACTGAGTCCACACAGACAGTAAGCGGTGCAGCTGTTGGGCTGCAGAAGCCATGCTCTTGGCTGCCTTGTCACTTCGCCACCTTGTCACTTGGCCCTTCTTTGAGACTTTTCAAGAGATCTTTGAAACAATGAATTTTTTTCACTTAATACTTACTTGGGCCTGTTTAACTTTGCGGGGTTTCTTTGTTTTGTTTTATTTTTTAAAATCTGCAGAGCTAAGAGCCCAATCATGTGAGTTATAATTTTAGAAAAAGTTTTTTTTAATTTACTTTCCTATATTTGGGACCTAAAGTATGAAACTCACCTGCCCTCTAGGTTGAAATCATCTGCTTAGAGATGATTTCAACTCTAGCAACTTTGTCTGCCAGATTGCTGAAATACTGGTGTAAATGAGCAGTCCACCCAAGCCATCCAGACGGTTCTTAGAATAAGCCAAAGGAACATCATGGAGCCTGAACTAAATTCAAATTGAAAACTTGGGAGAAATCAGTGGTAGGGCTAGATATACCAAGCAAAAACACAATCCTATGTAGTACTTTGGAAGTTCATTGAATCAAAAAATGGTTTTTTGTCCTTGGAAAATATCAGACTGGCTATTTATTTTCAGTTTAACATCTAAAGACTCAGAGTTTCTAAAATCTTTGGGATTTATTAAAAAAAGGGCTCCCAAGGAGTTTTATGTGAGACATACTCTGAGCAGGTATGATCCACGCTCCAGCTCAACACAATTCTCTAAGGTATGAACCATAGCTGCCATGTTTGGATCCATTACCATGACCTACTTGTCACTCAAAACCTGAAAGATTCCTGGGTAGCACTCTTCCATGGGACCAAAACTGTATAGAATCATTGTGGAAATAAGCCTCAAAAAAATGTTCAAGATGAATAGACTTGGCTGAGAAGTCAGAGTCACTGCTACATGTGTGAAACCTTACTCAGCCTCATATGAAAGGAGATTCGTGGACCCAGAGCCACAAAACTCACAGTTCTGGGCAGAACCACAACACTTGTCCAGGAGCTGAGGATCACTGTGTGGAGAGTGGCTGGAATGCATGGGCCACATTCCTAACTGTACACCAGCTCCCAGGGAAACAGTGCTCAGTCTTTGAAGAAATAAAGCCTGTCATCCACCAAGGACTATAGAATGAGGCTTGGAGGCTCAGAAGCACTTGTCAGTTTCAAGTTCTCAATGCCAAAGTGTCCAACAATTCCTACAGTCAATATGTCCACTCAGGAGAGAGAAGAAATAGGAATTGGACCAACCAATAAAGTTTGGACCTGCAACACCAGGACAATCAAAGAAGCCAGATGCTGTGCAGTTTTCAATGCTGCCCCTAAAAGGGGACCCCAACAGCTGAGAGCTCAACAGGTGGAGAGACACTCCAGTTCTCGTCAGGAGACCACCCCAGCCCAGTCCAGAACTCAGCAGTCAATAATTCATTGATTCAAAAAATATTTTGAACATGTCATTCTGGTCCCTTCTATCAGCACATTCTGCCCTCGAACATCAGCTTTATCACATCCTTCTTTGCAGGGACCCCTCTCCCTCCTTGTTTCATGAGATCCTCTCAGTGGTCCCCCCTGAACCAGCTGCCATGTGTGGGTCAGGCACTCATCCCACTGTTCCCGTTGCATACCAATCGTCAGCCCCTGCAGACCTCTGCTTCATCTCAACCACCCCCACGTGACACCAAATGAACACACCACGGCAACAAGGGACTGATAGCAAGAGCTCTTGCCTAAAGCAGGGGACTCCCCACACTTGTTTATTACAGCAGTCATCACCTTGGGTCATACTTATTTGACTATCTGTCTGTCTGCACCACTATGCTGTGAGCTACTCTAACAGGACTGTACCTTATTTATTTATGATTCCCTGTATCTGTCATAATGCCTAATGTGCAGTATCAGTTTGTTTCAAAGAATAAAGAAAGAAAGGATGAAAGGAATGAATGAAAAAAGAAAGAATTGGAGAGGGAGAGGGAGGGAAGAAAACAAGCACACAAGAAGCTTAAGGACTAGGTGTTTGGACAGTCTTGGGGCATCCTAGATCCCTCCCCTTAGAAAAGCTTACTCTGTCTCCCCTTTCCCTCTCTGCCACCATGACCCTGCAGCCTATAAGTGAGTGACACAGGACCTGGTGACAAAGTCCTGTCCAGACCCTCTGTGAGCCAGAACTCCCTGTGACATCTACATCTTTCCTCAAGGTGTTCAGACAGATATTCTCTGAGCACCAAGCATCAGTCACTAAGGTGTCCTCCTGCCCAGGTCCAGGCAGAGGTCCTTCAGTCTCTGGTGTGTCATAGACAGGTGAGGAACCAGAGGTGAGATTTGGAGGAGAGGATGGCAAGAGTTGAGACTAGGGAAGTCAGCCAGCTCCTGATTGGCCTGAAATAGGTACTACCTGCCAAAGAATTTTGTTTGTTCTATGGGCAACAGGTATGCTAAGCCACAGGTAATCCATTCTCCACCCTCCAATTCTTTATGCTACACCTCGTATGATCCTATCTTCTCAAACCCACCTATCCATTAGAATCACCTGGGGAGATATAAAAAATCCTGATGCTTAGGCTACACTTCAGGTCTAATCAATCAGTGGAGCTAATCAATCTAATCAATCATTCTCTGGGGGTGGAGCTCAGAGTTCAGTATTTTTTAGAACCTTCTCAAATGATTCCACTGTGCAGCCAAAATTTAGAACCTTTAATGAAGAGGGTTCTCAGTTCTCCCCAGAAATTTCACCCTCTATGATCTCCAAAAACTCTTCTTTTCCCCACTCCCCATCTCCAGTCCCCCTTCCTAGATATTCTTTGACTCCTGTGTGTGAGTTCGTGCAATAACGAAACTTCCTTCGACTCCATCTGCCAACCCCAAACTCTCTTGACAGCTCAAACTCCTCTGGGTGTTGGATGATTCGGCCCATTCATCAGCTCTTCCAGGTGCACCACTGACCCACACTGAGTGCTGCAGCCAAGCTCAAGGGTAAAAACAGGAAATAGATCAGACTATAGACCTCCCATAATGGCTTCTAAAAACTGAAGCGTTTGAAAGCGACGTGGGTTTGGAAACACAAACCTTCCAGTGTTGTGTTGTATCTGAAGACTTTCACATTTTTCACCACAAAACCCTGATTTTACAGAGTGATGATTATGAACTCCAAGAATGAATGTTTTCCTAAGTATAGTTTGGGAAATATGATACAACTTATGAAATTAGGTATTGATTTATTTATTGGCTGTGAGTGGAAAGGTAGGAAGACCCAAGAGAGATTCTTGGTATAAAAATCTCCTAGGGGCCTTTTAACAAGTTTTTAAAGAGTCTGAACACAGTGGGATATAAAAACAGGATTTTGTTTTCCTCTAGTCACTGCTTTCCACTACGCTACAATGGCTCTCCTTTGATGATATCTCATATGTGTCCCATAACTTTCTAACCATCTTCAGGAATTCAGCTATTATCCAATACTGTTGAGTTGAATATAAGTCAGTATAAGAATCTTAACTCCTCCCCTCCCCCAAGCATAGTCCAACCTTCTTCTAAGAGACTGCAGTGAGAAAAAGACATGGTCAGCTCTGTTGCTCATCCTTCACCTCCTCCTCTACCCTGTGGATCTCCTTTCTCCTATTATCCAATACTGTTGAGTTGAATATAAGTCAGTATAAGAATCTTAACTCCTCCCCTCCCCCAAGCATAGTCCAACCTTCTTCTAAGCGACT